GATTGATGTTGTCAAGAATTTTATTTTGTTTGGATCAATAAGCAGTGCTCATTGAAACAGCAGTCAAGAAATTTCATTGGCCATATCTGCTGCACAAAACCTCTTTTAATTGTCAGAGACCACTTTGAAAACTAGCATGTGCATGACCGAAGCCATGATATTTTAAATATTTTCATATCCGTGTGAAAACTGGACAATTAATAAGGGAATCTGCAGAAGAATGGATGAAATTGAATTATGGTGTTCAAGAAAGAATGTTGAAAATATCATGGACTGCCAGAAGAGCAAACAAATCTGCTTAGGAGAAGTATACCCAAAATGCTCCTTAAAAGGGTGGATGGTAAGACTCACACACTTTGGACATGTTAGCAGGAAGATCCAGGCCCTGGGGAAAGACATTATACTTGTGGTAGTTACATACTCTGTTAATTCGAGACTTAGGAGTGGAGGGGTGGAGCCCAGCCTGTAAATCATGTCGCAGCTTGATGACCTCATTTGGAGACACTAAGGAGATAAATACCTCGCTGGAGGTGGGACACGCACTCACTCCTTGCGAGACATGCTTGCTGACAAGACACTGGAGCTGAAGGAACCACATAGAGACTTCTGCCAGCGCTAAGATGCCTCTACCTCCACGGAATCCACCAGATTTTCCACCCACTGGCCTTGATCTCTCTGCATTCGGCATCATTGCATGTGCCGCATGAGTCTGAAGAGGACTTTATAGACTAGTACTGGACATGTGTTGCTAATACTGGACTTATGGACTGGACTGGGCTGAGATTCTTCCTTAATGTACAATTGCTCTTGTTTATAAAGCTCTTTCTTATACACATATGAGTTTCTATGAATTTGTTTCTCTAGCCAACCCAGACTAACACACTTGTTAAATCAAAGGTCTTTGAAAAAGAAGACCCTCAATTAGATGGATTGCCACAGTGGCAGCAACTATAGGCTCAAACAGAACAATACTTCAGAGTGTGTTACAGGACTGAGCAGTGTTTTCTGGTGTACACACATTGTGTACAACAGAATCAACTCAATGACACATAATAATAGCAAGGACATAGAAGGTTGATCAATTTTTCATGTTTATTTGCCATGTGTATATCCTCTCAGATGTCTCTTCAAGCATTTTGCCATTTAGCAAATAAGATTTTCTTCTTTTTAAATTGTTGCATTTTAGGAGTTCTTTGTTTTGTTTTGAATACAAATCCTTTATGTTTTTAAAGTGTGGTTTTTTCTACTCTATAGCTGAAAAAAAAATAAATCTAGATACAGTCCATACACATATCACAAAAATTAACTGCATACTGAATCACAGATCTAAATACAAAACTTTTTTGTAAAACAACAAGGGATAAAATCTAGATACTGAAATTTTAAATAAGACCAAGCACGGTTCATGAAAGAAAAAAATTGCTAAGTTGAGCATAATTAAAATTAAGAATAAATTTCCTGTGGAAAACATAGTTAGCCTAGTTTTTGATTCTATGAAAACTTGAGCATACCGTAAGGAACCTTAGTATATTGGTACATACCTGTCCAAGTAAATGCAACATTGTTGGTGACAATCAAGAAAGCTAGATAGGTAAAATAAGTCAAGATGTCAACTATGATTGTCAGGCTTTGTGTTTGGGCAGCAATCCCTAAAGATATGATCTGACTTAATGTAATCAACTCCATGATGAAATCCGTGAAGAACTGGCAGTTATCAGTCAAGTTACACATTGATTTGCCAATTGAAAGTTTGGCAGCTTGAAAGCATTAGCCACTCCTTAGGAGAAAGGTGAGGCTTTCTACTCCTCCTGTAAGCCTTTACGGTCTTGGAAGTCGACAGGGACAGTTCTACATTGTCCTGTATAGTTTCTATGCGTCAGACATTGACTGGATGGCAGGGAATTTTTTTTTATAGGTGCCTTGATCATAGCCCTGATGCCACTGGAGAGGAGCTTCCTCAGAGGTGTGGCAGAGTCTCACGGAAGCAGACTCTCTGGGCAGCCTGTCTCTTCTTGCTGGGCTGGCCCATGCTCCTGATTCTTTGGACTTAGCCACCATATTGCCTGCTAACCCTGGGAGCCTGCCAGTTGACCTGCCGAACTTGGATTCATTCAGCTTTGGTACCACAGACTTACCTGCTGATATCCATGTGATCTTCAGCTTTGTCTTCCTGCTTCCTGCTTCATCAGGAAAATTCCGGCAAATTATTCAGGCAACTTAGGAAAACATCTGAGCCACAGATTTGAATTAGACTGGATTTAACTGCTTCCACAACTGTGAGAGCAACTTTTTAATATAAATTTATTTATGTACATAGATGTCTTGATAGAAATGTGTATCTACATAGGTATATATATCTATATCAAGAAAGTGGCTTGATATAAATATATATGGATATAGATGTATATCAAATATATGTATATATTTGCATATGTATATAATATATATAAAACCACAGCCAGACTCACTGCCATTGAGCCAATTCTGACTCTGACTCATAACAATTCTATAGAACAGTGTAGATCTGCCCCTATAGGTTTTCAATTTGTAACTCTTTATGGGAGTAGAAAGGCTCATCTTTAATAGACATACACACACACATGCACACACACACACACACACACACACACACACGCACCCACATATGCCACTGGTTTTGCATATCTTGAGAATCCAGCCAAATGTAGTTACTAATCTGAGCTGATAGTGATTAGAATTTAGGATAAATATTTGAATCCTTAGGACAATAAGCAGATTTGGTAACATTATGGACTGTGGAATTTATGAGAGATACAGCATGGTTATTTACCCATAATTTCAGTGTTAGATCCCCTGAATTTTCTAGTCCCTCTAGCTCCTTCACTACTAAATATATTAGTCTGAATTTAAAGGACAAATATGAGGGGAAAAACCCAGAGAATTGGAATTATCAACATATACATGTTATGCTGATTGTGGTGAAGTAAATGAGGTCACTCGTATTGTGCAGACATCTATACAAATATATTTGCTTACTTGTTAGTCTCAGCAAGAACCATGTAAGTTTTCCTGTACTGTTATTATTAATCTCTCTTCTATGGTTCTTCAAAGATTAATATGTTATTCTGTTTTCTGTGCCATTGAGCCAATTTTGACTCATAGTGACCCATTGGCACAGAGAAGAACTTCGCTTTGGTTTTCATAGACTGAAATTTTTTTAAGCGTTTTATTAGGGCCTCATACAACTCTTATCACAATCCATACATACATTAATTGTGTAAAGCACATTTGTACATTCATTGCCCTCATCATTCTCAAAACATTTGCTATCCACTTAAGCCCCTGGCACCAGCTCCTCATTTTTTCCCCTCCCTCCCCACTCCCTCCTCCCTCATGAACCCTTGATAATTTATTATTTTGTCATATCTTGCCCTGTCTGTCGTCTCCCTTCACCCACTTTGTGTTGTCCATCCACCAGGGAGGAGGTCACATGTAGATTCTTGTAATAGGTTACCCCTTTCCAATCCACCCTCCCTCTGCCCTCCCAGTATCACCACTCACAGCACTGGTCCTGAAGGGATCATCAGTCCTGGATTCCCTGTGTTTCCAGTTCCTATCTGTACCAGTGTACATCCTCTGGTCTAGCCAGACTTGCAAGGTAGAATTGGGATCATTATGGTGTGTGTGTGTGTGTGTGTGTGTGTGTGTGTGTGTGTGTGTGAAGCATTTAGGAACTAGAGGAAAGTTGTATGTTTCATCCTTGCTACATCGCACCCTGACTGGCTCGTCTTCTCCCTGAGACCCTTCTGTAAGAGGATGTCCAGTGGGTCCAGTGGCCTACAAATGGGCTTTGGGTCTCCACTCCACACTTCCCCCTTCATTCACTATGATAAGATTTTTTTGTTCTGATGATGCCTAATACCTGATCCCTTCAACACCTCATGATCACACAGGCTGGTGTGCTTCTTCCATGTGGGCTTTGCTGCTTCTGAGCTAGAGCCGCTTGTTTACCTTCAAGCCTTTAAGACCACAGACGCTATATCTTTTGATAGCCAGGCACCATCAGCTTTCTTTGCCAGGCTGAAACTTTTATGGGAGCAAATTACCAGATTTTTTCTCCCATGGACTAGCTGGTGGGTTCAAACCATCAAATCTTCTATTAGCAGCTGAGTGTTAAAAAGCATTGTACCAGCAAGAATCTAAACCTAGTGAAATGCTTAGTAAAAAATAGTGTGTCCCTTCACCCACTTTTCTGTTGTCCGCCCCCCAGGGAAGAGGTCACATGTAGATCCCTGTAATCAGTTCCCCCTTTCCAACCCACTCTCCCTCTACGCTCCCAGTATCACCACTCACACCACTGGTGCTGAAGGGATCATCCACCCTGGATTTCCTATGTTTCCAGTTCCTATGTATACCAATGTACACTCTGGCTCATGAGGGAGGGGGGAGGGGGGAGGGAGGGGAAAAAAAGAGGACCCGATGCTAGGGACTTAAGTGGAGAGCAAACGTTTTGAGAATGATAAGGGCAATGAATGTACAAATATGCTTTACACAATTGATGTATGTATGGGTTGTGATAAGAGCCCCTAATAAAACTATTAAAAAATAAATTAATTAAATTAAATCAAAAAATAAATTTCATTATTGAAAAAAAAGAATAGTGTGTGTTCTCAATAAATTAAAGAACGATGTATTTTTGAAGTCATTTCCTTTGGGGTACCATATGACTTTAGAAAAAAGAAAGAATGATGGGCCTTTTGTTTTCCTTGTAAATGTAGTCTGCCCAAGCTTCTCCATGTATTTCTATAATTGCCAAAACTAGTTTGACGTTTTAAATAGCTTGACAACCTCTCATAAGTCCTTATTGGTGGTCAGCTAGCATCTTCCCTGTATTTATTGACTGTCATTCTAGGGCCGGTTTTCTATTTCTATACCATCAGGGGTTTATGGGTGTGAGATAAACTGTTATGAATTAGAAGGACCTATCACTTTTTTATTCAATTTTTCTCCTCTCTCCATAGGATGTAAATGGCATTATGCAAAGGTATGTTTGCGTGACCAGGGCTGATCCCTTTGTACTGTGAAGAGAGGTTTGTGATGAGGAAATTCACCTAATGGTCAAATAAGATAAAAAATCTTCTAATGAGAAAATTAAGGTGCAGTTTTATTTACATTTTCTTTTACAAATCAATGAGTGATTCATAACTATTGAAAATAGATCATATACTATAAAGAATTTCTGTGGTAGGAGTCACAATGTTCAGCCAGTATAGATCATAGGAATAAGATACTATATTCTCCAACCCCTATGAGTTCATTCATTTTTATTACCTTCTATCATTGCACTGAATTTTGGTTCTTAAAATTCACTAGTATTAAAAAAAAATTCACTAGTATGTTCCTGTATTTCTCTTTAGATTTTCATCAGCAGACACCAGTCTAGATCTTGACAAAAGTAGTCTGGGGCACCTCTTTTAGAAACCTACCAGGAAAGGTGGCCCTCTTTTGTCAAATAATGCACAGACTGAAGGAATCTAAAATAGGATGTCCACACTTCATCTGTTTTAGATCACAAAGAAAGAAATTCTATAATCTCACATTCTGACCATTTTCCCGAGTACTCACACCCATTGCAATGGCTTGTCCTTTCATTAAATTATATTTTGTAGAGGCATGCAAGTATTGGATTTTTTAAAAAGCCAGTGTGTCATGTAAACTCATCTGTTTTGTTGAAGTTCGAGGCTGAGGGTTTGATTATTTCATTTTAGAAGAAAGAACTACACTACTGAGAAGTCGACCTTTCTAAGGTCGACAAAAATTGATAAGTTATATAGAACACATGTCTTCTCAATTTAGTATCACTTCTCTCCCCTCTTCCCTCAGAATCTTCTGGGAAGAGGTCTCTAGAGCCTCAATTGGGTGGAGGAGAAAGGCAGTGGTATTGAATGGACATAAGGTCAGAGGTAAATTTGTCAATTTTTTTCTTTCCTAGGAGTATAAACTTGAACATGAGGAGGTCAAAACCTTCTCCCAAGAAACGAAGGGGTGTATTCAAAGCTCCAGATCTGAGTGGGATGTTTCAAAGTTTTAGAGGTGAGGAGAGCCTATTATAGAATGTTGGTGTCAGGTTCTTGTTGCTGCGGGGGCTAAACCAAGACCTAGTGCCAAGGAGATGAAGAAGGAGAGATATCATGGTGTGGTACTATTTAAAGAGGAGTGGCCAGGGGTCCATTTATCTCAATCTTAATTTCATTATTTCATCATAGTCCTCGCTCAATCTGGAGAGAAAATTGATTTCATTGCCAATTCTTTGTTTTATATTCAGTATCATCATCTCTTTTATCATTTCAGAGCTGACAGATGTGCAATGCTACTGGGGTAAGGAGACATCACAGTATCTTCAAATCACCTATTTTTACAAGGTTTTCTAATTGTGTGTTCTCTAGTGATCTCACCCTTTGGTAACCCTGGGCCCTTGTCCAGTATGCACCAACATGCTACTCTTCCCCAGCATCCTACGTCTCCCTGTGACTCCCAAACCTCCCCTGTTCTTTTTAATATTCCCTGCATCCTCCTCCCCCAAGACCCGTCCCCGCCTCAAACCATCTGTCCCATTGCTTTCTTATAAATATACTTTGTGTGTTTCTACAATATAATTGTCTTACAGTAAACATGACACTGGAACGAATAAGGCCTCACTCAGGTATTGCCATTTCTGAGAATGGAATACAAGCAAGACTTACACAAACAGTATTTGTTCAACCTGAGAATATCAATAATGGTGATTATCTTTTCATGAACTTCCTTTTATTGAAGAAAGGAAATGTTATTGGGATATGGATGTTTCTAAGAAAACTGTGTAGGTGGTGGGGGGGGGGCGAGGAGGAAGGGGGAAAATGAAGAGCTGATACCAAGGGCTCAAGTAGAAAGCAAATGCTTTGAGAATGATGATGGCAACAAATGTACAAATGTGCATGACACAATGGATGGATGGATGGATTTTGTTAAGAGTTGTACTAGCCCCCAATAAAATGATTTTTAAAAAAGGAAAACTGTCCAGGTTCTTGGGGAATACAATATCATTTCACTAATGTTCTACCTCTTGCTATAAGAAATGAGTTTCTCTAGTTCTTTTCAAGGTAATAATAGTTATCTCATAATGTCCCAAATAAAACCACTTCATATCTTTCTATCCTGTCATTGTTTTACAGTTTTCAGGACATCTATAAGAACCAAGACAGGTCAGCAAACTGCTTCAAGTGGATTACCAGGAGGACGATTGATCATTGAAGACTTAAGTTGTAATATCAACAATGATTATGCTCTCAGAGGCTCTCTGAATATCAACTCGGGAAAACATTACTGGGAAGTGGATCTAAGTAGGAAAACTGCATGGGCCTTGGGGGTATACTATGTCAAAAATCCTGATGTCAAGATGCAAAACTTTGATGTTAATCAATTTGAAGATTGTTGGTTTCAACGTAGACATCAGTCTCAACATGGCTACTGGGGTATAAGGCTTAGTAATCCATCTAAGTATATTGTTTTTGAGAACTCTTATCACCGTAATCCCTGGCATTCAATTCTATGTCTAAATGTTCCTCCCTGTCGTGTTGGAGTTTTTCTAGACTATGAACGGGGCACAATCTCATTTTTCAATGTCTCAAACCATGGGTTCCTCATCTACAAATTCTCTAATCTTAGCTTCTCTCAGATTGTTTGTCCTTACTTCAATCTAATGAATTGTGCAGTTCCCATGTCCCTCTGCTCACCAGGCTCCTGAATAATTTTACACCCTCTTTCCCTGTGCTCATTTCCTACAACAGAATCCTCTGCCACCATTCTGATGTTCTTGGCCTTTCCCTTTTTCATTGTCAAGTGTCCTTGCCTCATCCACAGAATGTACAAAGCAAACATTGTGCAAATGTACAGCCACAGAATGTACAAAGCAAAAAATATTGTGCAAAAACACTCAAAAAAACCATAACTTCTCTGTTTGGGAGCAGATCCTGAAACTTTTTCTTTCTTATTTATAAACAAAAATGACAAATTCTTCTAAAAGTAAGAATAGGATTGAGTTATTACCTCCACCAACTCTTTCTGCCCTCATTTTCCATGTCACTGAGAGAAGGCAAAGCTTGTCAATAAATCATAGACTGTTTGTAGGGATTATTCCCTAAATGATGAGTCCTAGGGATGTTAGTGGAGAAAAAAGCACAAATAATATATGTAGCAGAAGTGTAAGTTTTGTGACCAGAATCAATTTAAATGGTCTCTCTCTATACTAGCTCTGAAACTTTGAGTAAGATGCTTAAGTGGCTGGACTTATTTTCTAAAAATCATTTGGTGAGAAAAGCTGTATTTAATGCTTAAAAAAATCAATGTAAAAATGTCAATATTAGTAGTAGAGAAAACCCGTTTGTATCAGCTTAATAATAAATATGTTTCTGCTTACTCCTGAGAAATGAAATCTCGTGCTTTTATCCTGTGCAACAGTTTATGTGTAAACAACAAATGAAGTCCCATTTTTGTGTTCTGAAGCACCACCTCAGTATACATGCGTTTATTACAAATAAAATTGCTCAAGTAGGTCTCTTGATCAGTGGATGATGGCAGATGTTTTCTCAGCAATAAACTTGTTTTAATCTCATTAGGGCACCTTCAAAAATAAGGTCCAATCAAAACAGGGGCTTCTTTTTCTTTTTAAATCATTTTATTGGGGGCTTGTACAACTCTTATCACAATCCATGCATACATTTATTGTATCAAGCACATTTGTACATTTGTTGCCTTCATCATTCTCAAAACATTTGCTTTCTACTTGAGCCCTTGATATCAGCTCCTAATTTTTCCCCTCCCTCCTCACTCCCCTTCCCTCATGAACTCTTGATAATTTATAAATTGTTATTTTGTCATATCTTACATCGTCTGACATCTCCCTTCACCCACTTTTCTGTTGTCCATTCCCCAGGGAGGAGGTTATATGTAGATCCTTGTAATCAGTTCCCCTTTCCATCCCACCCTCCATCCACCCTCCCAGTATCGCCACTCTCACCACTGGTCCTGAAGGGATCATCTGTCTCCAAACAGTGGCTTCTGAAGGGATCTAGGATTAGTTAAATTCAAGACAAAGAGGCCAAAAATTAATAAATCATTTTATTGGGAGCTCTTACATATATTGTAACAATCCATACATCCATTATATCATGCGGAAATGTACAAATGCTGCTATCAGCAATTTCAAAACATTATCTATAGTCTTGAGTTCTTTGATATCAGCTCCTCTTTCTTCTCTGTCTCTACCACCCTAAAAAACCCTTAATATATAATGTATTGTTATTTTTGTTTATACATATCTTGCATTACCCATTCTATCCCTTCACCTACAATCCTGGTATTCATTCCCTCGAGCTGGGTTATTCCACCGTCATTGCTATCCATTTCCCCTTCCCTCCCCTTACCCTCCTGGAATCATCACTCCCATTACTGGTTCTGAGTAGTTTCTATCCTGAATTCCATATATTGAAAGCTCTCATCTGTACTGATGTATGTACACCAGTCTAGCAGGATTTGCAAGGTAAGACTGAGATAATAATGGGAGGGGGATGGAGCGGGGGGGAAGGATTAAAGAACTAGTGGAATCTTGTGTGTTTCACAGGTGCTAAACTGCCCTCGGAATGTATCGTCTCTTCCATATGGCCCCTTTGTGTGGGAATGTACAATTATCCATGGATGAACTCTGGGTCTCTACTTTGACCCCTCTCCACCTCAATGAGGTTGTTTACTTTTGAATTTCTGATACCTGTTGTTCCCACTGATACCTCATGATCACAAGGCTGGCGTGGCTCTTCACTGTGGGCTTTATTGATTCCCTGCTATAGGGCCCCTTATTCAAGCTTTTAAGACTCCAGATACTATATCTTTTAATATATAGCTTTCTTCACCACATTTGCTTATGCACCCAGTTTGTCTTCAGCAATTGTGTCGGGAAGGTGGGTATCATCCAGTGCCATGTTATTAGAACAAAGTGTTCTTGTGCTGAGGGAAACCTTAAATAGAGGCTCAATGTCCATCTGCTACCTCAATGTATTGCCATATAAATATATGTGCATAGGCCAATACCCCTATTTTTATGTATTAATATATTTACATACGTACACATCTATGTTTATGCCTCTAAATAGCGTTTCTGAGTTCTTTCCTCTATTTCTTTTTTACCTTCCTACTGTTTCATTATCTCCTCTTATTCGCCTCTCAGTGATTCCTCTCAGCTAGATTATGGCTGCTCCAACACCATCAGAAACTATACTCCCATTGCCACGGATTTTAGATTGCCGTTGTTCCCCTGACCAGGCCGTTATTTGCTCACCAGTAAGTTCCCTGCCTCCTCCTCCCCCAAGTCCCGTCCCCCCCTCAAACCATCTGTCCCATTGCTTTCTCCTTGGGCTGGCTTCTCATGCCTATCTTAGATAGATAGACAAAACAAAAACAACAAAGACAAAAACAAGCAAAAACAAAGAGAAAAAAACCCTACACATAAGTCTAGGTCTGTCTGTTGACCTTTATGACTATCTCCCTACTCGTCCAGCTGGACTCTGGGCGTTGCCCCACTGAGTCTGAAGTCTATTTTGGGGATTTTTCAGGGGCTTTGTGACTTTGCACCCATTGCTGATCTGTTAGGTTCCCTTCTTGGTTTGCCACACTATGGGAGTTCAGACAGATTCACTCCCCGCACTGTGTCTCCAATATTGTACTCTGTAGCACTGTGCTTCAATGTGAGGGACATCATGTCTCAAGTTGTTGTCCTACTTACAGTCCTCTCTGTGCCTTAGATGTTGCAAGCAGGGACGTCGTCCTCAGGGGATTGGTGTGCCAGATTGGGGTTTAGTCCCTCATTCTCACTCTTTCCTTCTTAGTTTGCTCTCCTGTGGCAGGCCAGGCTAGCCCCGCTCCACAATCTGTAGCTTCAGTGCTGTCTTCTATAACATATACTTCTAGGGAGGTGTGTAGGTCTGGGTACTTTAGTGAAACAAATCCACAGAAACTCATGTATAAGAGAGAGTTTTAGATAAAGGTTAAGTGCGCGTCAAGAAAACATCCCAACCCAGTGCTGTCCAAGCCTACAAGTCCAACATTAACCCATTAACCCATATGTCTGACACCGATCCACAGAGTCCTCCTCCATCTCACAAAACAGACACAATGATGCTGACTGCAGGAGGAAAGCTGAGTCAATGAATGTGGAAGCATCTCAGCGCTGGCAGGGGTCTCCACACGGCTGCTCCAGCACCCAGGGCTGGATCGGGGTAGGTCCATGTGGCTTCTCCTCAGGGATATCTTGCAGGAAGTGAGACTTGCAGGCTGAAGCAGGAAACTGGCTAAGGCAGCTGCACCCTGGTCTAACCATCAGAAAGCAAGAGACCGGAGAACTAGAAAGGCGGGGCTCACCAAGCCATTTATCCCTTCATCCTTCAATTAACCCCACATGTGTTTATTGGCCAGGTTGGCACAACAAACTAACTAACTCAGGAGGGGTCAGCATAGCTCAGATTGGGGCTGGCCTCATAGTCCTGTTTGGTATTGGGTTGCTCAGGGCCAGGCAGTTAGGTTGCCTTCAAGGCTTGGAGCGCAGTGATGAGGTCTATACTCTCACGCCCTTTCCTGTGGAGATGCAAATACTATTCTCCCCATGGATGGATTAGTGCCCTGCTCCCCAATGCCATAGCTCCCCCTCCCACCTTTTTCCCTTCTTTATGTTGGGATGCCAAGTGTACATCCTTGGGTTTGGTCTGTCCTTCACCCAAGTGGCTGTACCTCAAGCCCTTTGTTATGCATTAAGTAGCTTTTCTTCTGTACTCACCTTGCTGATTGAGCTTACCTCAGTGGATTCATGTTGTACTTGTCCTTTTGTGCTTGGCTAACTGCACTTAGTATAATTTCCTCTAACTCTTCCCTTGAGACAATGTGCGTCATGCGATCATCACTGCTTTTTAGGGATGCATAGTACTCCATTGTGTGTATGTACCTGAGTTTTCTAATCCACTCATCTATCACTGGAAATTGAGTCTGTTTCCAGATCTTTGTGATGGTTAATTTCACCACAGTAAACATTGTAGCGCAGATGACTGGTCCTGCTCTCTTTCTTACTTTTTTTGGGTATATGCCAAGTAGGGGGATTGCTGGGTCAAAAAGTAACTCAATTTCCACCAAATGATAATCTTGACAGATATTGTCAAAAGAGAATATATCTGATCGGGGGGGTGCTTATTAGGAGGAAGTTTTGTTGATGTTGTTGCTTAAAATCATTTTACTTGGGGTCCATACAACTCTTATCACAATCCATACATACATCCATTGTGTCAAGCACATTTGTACATTTGTTGTCATCATCATTTTCAAAACATTTTCTTTCTACTTAAGCCCTTGGTATCAGCTCCTCATTTTTCCCCTCTGCCCTCCCCTCCCTCCCTCATGAACCTTTGATAATTTTTAAATTGTTGGTATGTTTTTAATGTCTTATGTTTTTAATGTCTTATACTGACCGATGTCTCCCTTCACCTACTTTCCTGTTGTCTGTCCCCTACGGAGGGGGCTATATGTAGATTATTGTGATCTGTTCCCCCTTTCTCCCCCCACCTTCCCTTTCCCCTCTTGATATAACTACACTCATTATTGGTCCTGAGGGGTTTAATCTGTCCTGGATTCATTGTTTCCAGCTCCTATTTGTACCCAGTACATGCCCTGGTCTAGCCAGATTTGTAAAGTAGAATTGGAATCATGATAGTGGGGGTCGGAGGTAAGCATTAAAGATCTAGAGGAAATTTGTATGTTTCATTGGTGCTATGCTGCACCCTGACTGGCTCGTTTCTTCCTTGTGACACTTCTGTAAGGGGATGTCCAATTGTCTTCAGTTGGGCTTTGGGACTCCACTTTGTACTCCTCCTCATTCACACTGATATTATGATTTTTTGTTACAGGCTCATGTGCTTCTCCCATATGGACTTTGTTGCTTCTCAGCTAGTTGGCCTCTTATTTATCTTTAAGCCTTTGAAACCCCAGACGCTATATCTTTTGATAGCTGGGCACCATCAGCTTTCTTCACCACATTTTCTATGCACCCATTTTGCCTTCAGCGATCATGTCGGGAGGGTGAGTATCACAGAACGTCAGGTCATTGGAACAAAGTGTTCTTGTGTTAACCGCTGAAGACAAAGCGGGTGAATAAGCAAATGTGGTGAAGAAAGCTGATGGTGCCCGGCTATCAAAAGATATAGCGTCTGGGGTCTTAAAAGCTTGAAGGTAAACAAGCGGCCATCTAGCTCAGAAGCAACAAAGCCCACATGGAACAACATATCAACCTGTGTGATCACGGGGTGTCGAACGATCACTGAAGACAAATGGATGCATAAGCAAATGTGGTGAAGAAAGCTGATGGTGCCCGGCTATCAAAAAAT